CAGTGCCTGTTTAATGAAACACAACTTGTATTGTGCTGGATAAGGGCCTTGCCCACTGTCGTTGAGACACCAACTCATGAAATGAGGTTCAGATGTTCGTCACCGATGTTGGCCGAGAGCGGGAACTGAAGCATGATCGTCGTATTTGTAATGCAACAGCAATTTGTTTTTTTAAATGTCGTTTCAGACCGTTTTCAAGTGTCCACTTTGGGCCACGACATCGCGATATGCAACCTCCCTGCCATTTGCGGGCAACGTCGAAAAGACTTCACAACCCACTTCCACAACTGCCGGGGTGGGCGATGTCCCATAACCCGCAAGGGAACATGTTGCGTGATGCAAGCGGTGCAGATTGTAAAGTTGCAAAGACTAAATAAAAGACTTATGCACAACTCATTTTGATTGAACAGCAGTTAACATAATTTTGAGTGATCTCTATTCGTACTTGAAGCAAAGAAAAGATAAAAAGCGACAACAAAAAATGCTAAACATCATCACAACGTTGGGGGAAGCTGATATCGCGCTCATAGTCACATCCCCGAAATCTGAAGTCGTAAAACGATATTGCCGTAACCTTATCAGTGAGTCACCAACCCGTGATGACCAGTGTGGTGAAGTATGGACAAACAGCTCCCATAACTGATATGTCCTGGACAGATGTTCACACAGCAATGATTTAAATATGGACTGAAAATTAGTATGACTACTACACGTCTTATAAAATATTATTTCCAAAAATAAACATTACTTTTAAATTGTATTGATTACAATCATAAATATTGACCTTCTCATGAGCCTATTTGCACATTTTAAACAAAAAAATAAATTTAAACTGCATACTCTGACGCGCAGTTCAGAAACACGGCCGTAAAGGAAAACTACAGAACAAAAAGTAAAAATTGCGCTAAGAAGCATGGAGAGACGCACCCATGGAATTACCCTGAAAGACAGAGGAAGTCGTGGATTGGTGAACACACACACAGGTTAATAACATCATTCAAGCTATTAAGAACAGCACACAAGATTGGGCAGGATGCATCATGGCGAGAAGGGACAATGGACGATGCATGTACGAATGTTGAACTTCTTTCGCACCGTACCTAGCCAACCGTGCTCATCGGAGGTGCGGGGGAAGGACAACAAACTAAACACAAAAAGCAGTCTTCTTGGTTCTTTCGGTAAAGTCACGTAGAAGGGAAATAATAAAATAATAAACATTAAACATAATAAAATAATTCTCACGACGTTTCGGAGACAACACAAGCTTCCGTCTTTAGGTGGAACCGTCACAGCACGATTGCTGTATCAAGTAAGAGAATTCCAAGAAAACAGTCCTTGTATATATACTGGTTGAGGGTGGGAGGAGCCAAGGTAGGCCATGGATATCCAGGTTCCACCTCAAAATGGAAGCTTGTGTTGCCTCCGAAACGTCGTGAGAATAATTTTATCATGTTTTATTTTTATTATTTTATTATTTCCCTTCTACGTGACTTTACCGAAAGAACCAAGAAGATGAATAGCTGCAGTCACGAAAGCGTTAAATCGAAACAAAAGCACTTCTGAAGAAATGAGTTTTCAGTCGAGATTTATAAGTGAACAGCTCCAGTGGCTTCCTAATATCGGAAAGAAGAGAGTTGCAGATGGCCGCTAAAAGCACATCTGAAACCGCGCGATGCGGTGACCCTCCTTTGTTCGATGGACAGCTACCAAAAGCTGTGGCTACGAGGATGACCGGAGTTCACGCAATGACGCTTTATGCTCCTAAACGAGATCGACGAGGTATTGCGCTTTCATTTGTGGCAAGAAAGAATAACTATGGTTAAGGATAATGGTGGAGTGGCAGCCAAGGTACGGAACGGCATCCGAGACTACGTCCGTCGAAGATATGGAGCGAATAAATGAGTTCGTGTGCAGGCGCTGGGGTGCAACACTGCATCGTAGAAGTTGACCGACGGTGAGCCAACGACGACGACGACGTCACTGTGAAAGCGTACCGTCTACAACGCAGGGGGGAGCCTCCGCCGAGGCTCTTCGTGGGGTGCGACACGGAAGTGTGAACCTGCGCCTGCTACGGCGTGCGACTTGCCGGGGCGGAGCAGCACCGGCAAGGCAGGGCCACCCCGCCGCTGCACGGCCACGTCACTTATCGCTCCACGTTTGACGAATGTTGCCGCTCAAAGGTCAAAATTCTCAGGCAACCGCCGTTTACAGCTCAACAAATTGAAACGTAACCTCCACTTAGCAGGATGCCTGGCCCAGGCAGCAACTCAGGGCTACCTTTTTCTGCTCCTGAAACGAGCGTTCTGCACTGACGCATTGCAGGAGGGGGGGGGGGGAGCGGGATAGTGGGAGAAATTCTGATGAACTTTCAATTTCTTGACAACAAAAATGTAAACATTGTCAGGAGTTAATATGCAACGGGACCACAGATCAAATTGTGCTCATCCCATCTGCTTACTCTCACCACTGCTGGCATAAGGGCCTCGGCTTGAGGCAGCTCCAGAGAGCCCCCTCGAGCAGGACTTCTGCCTACTCTTCCACACCGGTCAAACGTCTCGGAAGAGCTGGGACTACACACACTCTACCCCACCACCAAACGCAACCTGCCGATTGACTAACTGCGGTGGTGTAACCCATTTATACTGCTTGGTAGCCAGAGATGAGAGGGTGAGGGGGGTGTCATTTAATAAACCGGGCCAGCAGACTAATTAAAACGTGCACACATTACTCACGTCCGTGTTTGTTGTGCACACGCATTCGCTTCCGTACGATTCGGAAGCCATACCGGATTTGATTTCGCGAGGTGCCAACGCTGACGTGTGAAGCGATTGTTTGCGGGGCAACAACCGCCACCAACGGAGCCCGTCCGCACGCTGCCAACTTCGCACCGGCGATCGCCAAAGCCGCCGCCAAGCACCCATCAGCCTCGCTACGGCTGATTGTATTAATCCACGGCGGCAACGACTGTTGCGTGTTCGCGCACACGCACACTCGCGCACACGCACACACCCGCACACGCGCACCCTCTTGTCGAACACACTCTACCCGTCCCACACATGTCTCCAGCACACACTACAGCCGCCGTCACCTAGCAGGTGTAAAAAGTAGACGGCAAAAAAAAAAGAGATGTTTGAAGCGACGCATTGATTTTGTTTTGTTTACTTTCGTTTTTGTGCAGAAATCTGAACCTACAAGGGCTCTCTTCGCACTTTAAGAAGGAGCGTATGCTCTGGATCGGGGCTCTCCATAAGGAGGGGGGCGAGGGGCCCGGGGCAAACCACACTGTGTGGGCAACCCCCCCACCCCCGATGCCTTCAAACTATTCCATCCCCCCCCACCCCAAAGCGCGGGGCCACGGGCGGTCGCCCCTATTCGCCGTACACCCGAGGGACGGCCCTGCTCCGGATTGTAAAACGCTCCGGCAAGTAAGGCGCACCCCAATGGATGCGGTACGTGATTCGTTCACGCGATTCGACCGCAGGCGCTGCAATGCTCCGTGAAGTTAAAATGAGAATGCCCAGTAATCATCGAACGATGGACCAACGTCAGTCCGACATTTCCAACCGATCCAATATTGGCATGTTTCTCTTTGGTTCTTAACGGTAAAGTCACATATCAAGAGAAAATAATAAATTAAATACTAGCACACGACGTTTCGATTGCGATCGTATGCTAGTATTTATTTTTTTATTTTCTCTTGATACGTGACTTTACCGAAAGAACCAAAGAGTAATTCCTGCAGTCACGAAAGCTCCAAATTAAGTATTGGCATGTTTACTGGGCGGACTCTTTAATCAAATCGCGACTCGTGATCGTTTTTTGCATCGCATGCATTGGGGGATGTGGAGGATGAATAGTCACGAGGCCCATTAAGAATTATGACCTATCAAGCAAGTAAGACGCACCTCTAAACTTGTGTGATCTCTATTGAGTAATTGTACCGATGTCCATAAAGTTATACAAATCAATCTGGGCACAAATGCAATTAGCGGATTATAACACACGCACCCCAACTTTTGCTTAAAAATACAGGGAGAGGGGGGAAATATAAACATTAATCCAGAGAACAGGGTAATACTACGTTGCTCTGTTAGCAAGGATTTCAATTGTGCAGCGTCCATGCGTTGCTTCACTCGCGATATTGTTGCTATGCACAGAGGCTGTGAATGAGATACAGGGATTTACTCAGATTGGCACACGCGTGACTTGGTCAAACACCAAACAACGGCCGTAAATATTACCTCCTATTGCTGCATGCGGCAACGCGCAAGAGCAGCTAGATGAAGAAGAAAAATTACGAGCAATAAAATATGACCGAATGGGCTTTGGGCTCCGACTAATGTATTTTGGGATTTAAAGTCACTCCAGTGCAGGAATTGGACCACAGTGGGACAGAGCGTAAGGATAATCGGGTAGGTGAGGGATGGAATTGTAGCATTCAATACACTGGAAATGCTCATCAAAGTTTTCATTAAAAATTATGTAGCCTCCAATGATTTTGCAATCACAAAGTCGTCAATGGAATGATTGCGTCGTGTGTTTCGACATTTTATTGCCAGCATTTTTATTAATAAGATAACCACATTTTACATTGGCTTGTACATCAATGGTATGCATCATGTGAATCGTATGGAATATCCATGTGTCGCGCACCACAAGTCGTTTTCGATCATCTAGCTCCACAGATGCACTGCAGCCCTTTACAAACTGTCAAAAGAAGCCATCTCTGCACTGAAACACCACGAGACTGTCATGTACAATTCATCAATGAGCGTCTGGGAGGGCGATTGGCTCTCGGTGAAATAAATGTAGGTATTTCATTCCACTCCCTCTCACCAAAGCAGTCGTCACGCCTTGGCTGAGAGCATGTGAACCGAGCACTGTCATCTACTTTTTGTTCCGATGCAATTCCGAGAGACAAAAAAACCATGGAAGGACAACAACGGGACAAACGCGCAAGCTTCAATCCAAAACAAAGTGCCACGCAAACTTCTCTTCACCTGGCAAAGTATTCGGGGGCACCACCAACTTAGCGGCAGCAGGTAGCAGCTGTGCACCACGTGACAGCCGATGGCTCCTGAACACAAAGGGCGGCAAGAGGAGACAAAGCAAAAATGAAGTTGCATTGCACCAGAAAGGCATCAATTCATTGCGAATATTAAATGCTGCACGGCAGCGTATTATGGACTTGCGTCATCGTGGTCAACAGGGGAATAAAACGAGACCTCACGGCGGCTCGATGCGATGCATGCGCAGCGGCGCTTCGTGCAAATCTCTGGCGAGCGTGATTGCGACTGGGTTAACCTTGAAGGAGAAAACCCAACCCCGACACAGCCATCCTCCTCGATAACAAGAAACGTAATCCGCGGACCGGCACCCAGCAACCGCTGAATGCGAGCGCATGGCTTATTACCGTGAGCGTTCGGCGCAGTTTCCGTCAAACCACGCGGAACACTTCCGTCGGAGAGGGTTGTGACAGCACTCGGAATCTCGAGAATCAGGGGGTGGGGGGGGGCCTCCCCCAAGTGGTATTTCACATTGGCCCAGTGCCACTCTGACCACCAGTAGCTAATCCATTTCCATAATCCCTTTGGTCTGACCCCCCCCCCCGCAGCCTCCAACCCGTTGACTCTCAAAATTAATCAACACCCCCCCTTCACCGCCTGTCGCAAGGTGTCTCGCACCTTGCGAGACGGCATCTCGCGTCACTAAAAGGCCGGGCTGAAAACTACGTGGGACGTGAGCTGTCAAAATTACTCTGCCACAAAATCAATTTGCAGCAGTTCCCCCCCCCCCCTCCACCCCCACCCACCTCGCTAGGGATGTGCCCGCGCGCGCCGCCTGCAAACAATCCGCTGCAGACAAATTGCATTTCCAACGGGATTGAGTCCCCATTTTTACCGCCCAACCGCCCATTTCCGCCGTCCTTTTCTTGCCAACCACTTACCGGCAAGCGACTACCGGCGAACAACCGCGAGAATTCTTCGCCATAATCACATCGGAAGCGTGGAGGACCCTCCATTAACCTTCCCTGCCCGGCGACTCGTTTATTTTTACCGCGTTTCGATGTGTGAACGCTTTTTCGGGGAATTGCAGCGCACGCCCCGCCATTTATTTTCGAGCGTCGCCGTTGCGCGATATTTCAGAGCACGCCACCCGACTCGCAAATTGGTTGGGCTGCACGGAGTGCACTTTCGGTGATTTGCAAAATACAGCTCGGGTACAAAGAGAGAGAAAAAATTAATATTTCACACATTAATTCCCGATAAATGGTTTTTTCATAGAAAAATATATGCAGGCCATGCCCAAGAGTAACAAGACGTACTCTGTGTCACTACGCGTGTGCACGCATCAGTGGTTATTGAACCTGCGATATGTGCATGTGATTGAATTATGCACATGCATGTGTGTGTAATATACTACTGTATAGTCAACGAGGCTACTGGGCAGTTGGAGGCAGTCGCCCTCAAGCAGCAACAGAGGGCAGAGGAGTGACGCTCACAACAACGAGCGGAGAGCCGGGCGGTTAAAATACAGCAAGCTCGCACAGTAGGGGGCACAGGCGGTGCATCTGCAAGTCACCTCAGTCAGTCAATTTATGGCACCTGGGTCTGTCCCGTGACTTCCTGCCAGCAGGCGTTCGACACTTGACGTGGCCTTAACGTGCACACAGCCTGGCACAGGCACCGTGGTGACGTTACCGCTACATGTGAATCGCACACTGCAATGTAAATGAACGTGTAAATTTTTTTATTCCGCTAAAAACAATTAAACACTGGGGGCTGTAAGTATCCATGAAATACAATTAATGCATAATTTCTCCAAATCTCAATCGTCACTGATGCATGTACGAGGCGTTCAAATATGCAATTTGATGAGGACTTGCACGTATCAACATTTTATACGCGACAGTTCTGGCATCTGGCCAGAGTCGAAGAGTTGGGCAAATGATCCTCTAGAGGGCTGAGAGCTCCGACTGACGGAGCCCAGCAGTGGTCTGCCCAAGCAAACTGCAGGGCTGCACCTTTACCTTTGCCGGGTTTGTGATGAAGCCAGTTCTGCAAGATGCAAGCGCATTGTGCCACGTGTATCCGGCGACCGCCGTTCAACACCGAGCCACGGCTAACAGCGGTGGCGAGCGAGGTCCGAACCGGCGGTGAAGCCCTACCTTCACCAAACTGCAGTTAACCAGTGGCGGTGAAGTATGGTGAAACAACCGCACAGCGCGGGGAGGCCTTCATCCAGCAGTGGCTTGACGAAACGTCTGTAAAAATATGTTTTTATTGCATTGCACTGAGTACCCCTGAAAACCCGCATTGTAAGCGGAGTAAAAAAGGTGCAAGTGCCATCAACAGGCGGTGGAGTTAAATAAGCACACGCTTTGACGGTTAGGAGAGAGAGACTGAAAGGAGTTTATTGTTTATTGGTTAATAAAGACGTATTTATTGTTACGAGACCATCCCGAGAGCAAGTCACCTTCGACTACATAATTAGTGAGGTGCTGAGCAAGAAAAATAGACAATGAAAGTGAAATTATTTTACGATAAAGCCCCTAGTGTCTCCGTCAATATCCGAATAGGCGTTAGCTGACAGATGTTTACGTTTCCATTACATGACCAGAGTAAAAACAACAACAAATCTGCAATAGATTGAATCACAGCCTGCACCTTGGGTGAAAGTGACACTCCATCTTCAACCGTGTCATTATCATAAACTCGCGTAGCTTTCGTGATTAATAATTACCCGTGTCCCTACACGGCCGCATTTGATCAACTAACTTCTTGTTATCGCCAGAGAAGTGGGGTGGGTGGGGTTATTTCTGGTGTCACCGGATCGCGGCGCGGTAGTACACCGAGATAAGATACGGCACGGCTCATGCCACGTGCTTCCCCAAAAAGTTAGCATCGCCGCCGCCACCACCGCCACCACCGCTACCACCCTGCAAATCGCCACTCTTTTATGGTGCAAAATCAGAATCTCGATCTAGACTGGAGGAGGAATCCGAGGAGGCTCTGAAGCTCTTTTTGACAGATGTCCAGTCGGGGTGGGTCAGCAAGTTACAACAAACGATACAAAACACATTCCTCCTGCGGAGGGAGCTGGTAGGAACGTTGGGTTGCTCGGTCAATGGCCAGGGTCAACAGCGGCGTGGTGTATTCCGCAAATATGCCCGACTGTGACGGCGGGCACAAGCCGGCGTGAGTAGGTTAAACGTTGAGTTTTATAAGGGCACAACGAGGTGACCAGCCCCACCCCACCCAGCCCCTCCCCTCCCACCCCCCACCCAGCCCCACCCTCCCCACCAGCCCCTCCCCACCCTCCCCACCCAGCCCCTCCCCACCCTCCCCACACAGCCCCTCCCCACCCTCCCCACCCAGCCCCTCCCCACCCTCCCCACCCAGCCCCTCCCCACCCTCCCCACCCAGCCCCTCCCCACCCTCCCCACACAGCCTCTCCCCACCCTCCCCACCCAGCCCCTCCCCACCCTCCCCACCCAGCCCCTCCCCACCCTCCCCACCCATCCCCACCCAGCCCCACCCTCCCCATCCAACCACTCCCCACCCTCCCCTCCCCTCCCCACCCAGCCCCTCCCTCCCCACCCAGCCCCTTCCTGCACGACAGACGGACACAATAATCCCCTGTGGGCTGGTAGAACCAGTGGGTTCCTACCAGTAAAAATAACAGGAGTGCAAAGTAGAGAAGAGGTAAGCGCAAGTCACTAATAATAGATAAAACAAATACAAATAAATAAAGTATAAAAGTACAAGTTGCATAGGTACATATATTCCTGGCGATTTTCAACACTAAATGCAAGCTTGGGTAAGGCAAAAGGGGCCTTATAACAGAAGAGTTTGACAAGACAGAACCGTCGCGAATGTATTGAGCCACAACAAAGCGACGACAACACAACACGGCAAAGCATCAGCGCGCGGACAACCCGAGCCGCCGAGTACGGACGTTGAACTTTTTTCACTCTGTACATCGATAACCGTGCTAATCGGATGTGCGGGCGGGGGGAGGGACACCGAACTAAAAGCAAAAAGCAGTTCTAGAGAAATACGATTTCAATGTAGATTTAAAAGTGACATAGCTCCAGTGGCATCCTCATATCGGAAGGCAGAGCGTTCCAGACGGGCATCTGAGAGAGCGCATGCGCGATGCGGCGACCCGTCTTCGTTCGACGTTAGCCAAATGCCGCTGCCGCTGCTGCCGCCGCTGCTACTCCAGGGATGACCGACGGCGGTTCTCTCCGTAAGACGCCGCACTAATTGTGGCACCCGCGTGTTAGTTTAACGAATGTAACAAATGGGTTTCAAATAAAAATTGACTGGAGCCAGAAACCCCCCACACTTCTGAAATGTCTACAACGCCTTCATTATCCCATCATTTATCTAACTGGGATTATCGTTGCGTGTCAGTGTCATAGCGCAAATCCCACATTTGAAAATTGCCCGCAATTAAATAAAAAAATTAATAACTGTCCCTTGCTAAAGAGATAATGAATCTCAATGGGCTCTCATCTGGTAAAATAAAGGGTAATAAATCAATCATGTTTCTTTAGTCTCATTTAAAAAATTCCAACATAGGAGTATTCCGGTCAATTCGGTGAGCCTTGCTACATTGCTGCACGTTTACGATACAAAGGCAAAAATAACGTGCCCACTAACATTCACTGAACCTTGTAAACAGATTGCTTACAATTCATAATAGAGGTATTTTTGGGTTAGATCACGTAAATATATAAATGTGTCGTTCAACCCGCCACCACCCGACACAGCCAATTAGTAAGGTTTGTCCCGTAAACAGAACATGCAAACCATTGGAACCTCCTTTGCCAGTAGCAAAATATGATAATTGTTTTTTTACCCTTTTATCTGGCAACAAAACTGACACCTTTTTACAAGGAGTCATGTTTGCATTGGCCACAATACCTGCGGTCGGAATGCAAACAAAAAACACAACTCTGATAATGTATGCACTGTCCTTGAAATATATTGGTCCACACCCGAGACGACTAGGCTCTAAAAAAAGCTGTCTCGGGTGTGGACCAATCAATTTCAAGGACAGTGCATACAT